AGATTTAGGGAACTCAACAACACCATCAAGCATAATATTTGCATAATAGGAATCCCAGAAGAAAGAGAAGAGGGGGTAGAAAATGTATTTGAAGATATAATAGCTGAAAGCTTCCCAAATCTGAAGAAGGAAACAGAAATCCAGATTTAAGAGGTACAGAGAGCCCCCAACAAAATCAACCCAAGGAGGTCCACACCAGACACACAGCAATTAAAAACAGCAAAAAGTATGGGAAAAAGAATTTTAAAAGCAGCAAGAGAAAAGAAAATAGTCACAAACAAGGGAAACCCCATAACGCTATAAGCTGATTTTAGCAAAAATTTTGTGGGCCAGAAGGGAGTGACATGATATATATATATATATATATATATATATATATATATATATATATAAACGTGCTGAAAAAAAATCTGCAACCACAAATATTCTAACCAACAAGGCTATCATTCAGAATAAAAAGAGAGAAACAGTTTCCCAAACAAAAGTTAAGGGAATTCATCACAGCTAAACCCACCTTACAATGAATGTTAAAGGGGAGGCTTTGAGTGAAAAAGAAAGACCATAAGCAGGAGTAAGAAAAGTAAGAAGCAAAAAGCAGTGAGTCTACAAAAACCAGTGAAGGGATTCATGAAATAAAAAGATGCAAAGTATGTCATCATACACATAAAATGTTTTGGAGAGAATAAAAATTAAGTGCTTTTAGAATGGATTCAAACTTAAGGGGACCATCAAGTTAAGATAGACTGCTTTATGCATAAGATGTTATTCGTAAACCTGATGGTAACCACAAATCAAAAACTGGCAACACATATGCAAAAAATAAAGAGAAAGGAATCCAAGTAACCCACTAAAGAAATCAGCAAACTCTGAGAAAAGACAAGTATGTTCTCTCTGTACCTACTTTGTTGAGGGTTTTTATCATGAGTGTATGTTATACTCTGTCAAACATTTGGTCTGCATCTACTGAAATTATTATTATTTTTAAAAGATTTTTATTTATTTATTCATGAGAGACACATAGAAAAGAGAGAGGCCAAGAGACAGCCAGAGGGAGAAGCAGGTTCCATGCAGGCAGCCTGACATGGGACTTGATCCCGGGTCTTGAGGACCACGCCCTAGGCTGAAGGCCCTGCTAAACCGCTGAGCCACCCAAGCTGCCCTATTTTTTTTTTTTAAGATTTTTTATTTATTTACTTATGAGAGACACAGAGAAAGAGAAGAAGAGGCACAGGCAGAGGGAGAAGCAGGCTCCATGCAAGGAGCCTGACATGGGACTCGATCCCAGGTCTTCAGGATCATGCCCTGGGCTGAAGGCAGCGCTAAACTGCTGAGCACCTCAGGCTTCCCTCTACTGTAATTATTACATGGGTTTCATCCTTTCTTTTATTGATGTGATGTATGGTATTGATTGATATGTGAATATTAAACCACCACTGCATCCCAGGAATAATATCCTACTTGATTATGGTGAATGATTTTTTTAATGTACTGTTGGATTCTGTTTGCTAATATTTTGTTAAGGATTTTTGCATCTATATTCATCAGAAACAATGGCCTGTAGTTCTCTTTCTTTTTCTTTCTTTCTTTCTTTTTTTTTTTTTTTTTTTTTTGTAGTGTCTTTATCTGGTTTTGGTAGTAGGGTAATACTGGCCTCATAAAATGAACTTGGAAGCTTTTCTTCCTCTCTTTTTGGAACAGTTTGAGAAGAACACGTATTAACTCTTTAAATGTTTGATAGAATTTGCCTGTGAAGCCATCTGGCCCTGGGCTTTTATTCAAACCCAGACCTTTTTCCAAAGTCCTTGCTCTTAACCTGTAACATATACATAGACAAGAATATGCTGTGGATAGCAAGACATAAATGTTGTGAGACAGAAGAATATTCAAGCTTCACCCTTCGCATTCATATCTTCATCCAAGTCCATTATACTTCAATGAAAAGGCCCCATTTCAGATTTGTGAGGATCTTCTGGGGCTTCTTTTACCTATCAGTAAAATTTTCCTACAGTTTTGTTTTGTTTTAATCAAAAGAAGAAGAGAAGTTAGAAATGGAAATGATAGAGAATAGTTTTCCCTCTCTGTCTAGACAAATGCATTTCTCTTAACAGCTCTCTTGAACCTTGGTGAAGATAGAGACTCTAGAGCGAGTAAAACTGCTACTCTTCCCAACACCTGCTCTCACTGTATGAGCACTAGGGATAATCAGAGAAGTAGATCTTAATGTGCATCACATGCTTCACTAGACTGGCATTGTTCCAGACAAATAAATTACTTGACTACAGAGGGGCAGTTATATTGGAATTTCAACTAAACAATAACAATGATAATGGCAAAAAATAACAATATTAATAACTATGGATTTGTGGGCTTTCTAAATTGTTCAGAAATGTGAGGTCCACAACTCTGATGTGTCTGCTGTCCAATGCTTGATTTGTGGTATAGATCAAAAACTTTTCTCTGGGTGGCTCAGTTGGTTAAGCATCTGCCTTTGGCTCAGGTCATGATCCCAAGACGGTGGCATGGAGTCCCCACATCAGGGTGTCTGCTCATTGGGGAACCTGTTTCTCCCTCTCCCCCTGCTTACCACTCCTCCAATTTGTGCTCTCTCTCTGTGTCAAATAAGTAAATAAAATCTTTTTAAAAAAACCTTTCCCGGGGATCCCTGGGTGGCTCGGTGGTTTAGCGCCTGCCTTCAGCCCAGGGAATGATCCTGGAGACCCGGGATCGAGTTCCATGTCAGGGTCCCTGCATGGAGCCTGCTTCTCCCTCTGCCTGTGTCTCTGCTTGTCTCTCTCTCTCTGTCTCTCATGAGTAAATAAATCTTAGGCCAAAAAAAAAAAAAAAAAGTTTTCCTGAAAAGTCCCATGAAATTTACATACAGTGAAATTCAGAGAACCCAATTTTTTATTGTCCATTTGTTCAGGGACTAATTGCCATATTAAAATCACCCTCTGTCAGGTATTTTTTTCTAATGTATATTGCTTTCTTATTTAATCAGACTTACACATCTTATTTCCATTGAATATGGAATTCTAATTCCTTATTATTTAACCTTAACTCAAATCTTGCCTTCTCTTTTAATAAATTAGGACATACTAGTCTTGCAAAATATTATTTCTAATTATCAGTTAGTACATTCCTGTCTCTTCTTTCATCTGACAGGTGAGACATACAATCACTCAATCTTCATGCAAAGATATATGATGATGTAATACAGATTTTACACAATACTGTGTATGTTATTGCTATTACATAATTCATTTTAGTGTTTCCATCCATCAAAATATAGCGCTCATCTGAAATTTCTCTAATTTTTTTGCCTCTTATGTACAGACATATATAAATGAAGTAACTGTCTTACATGTTGTAAGACTTATTTATTTGTATGTGGGGATTTATACAGTGATTTGTCTCAAAGAGAAATTGAAATAATTTTTAAAAATGGAAAACATAAAAATTTTAATGTGAAGACTACAGGGAAGGCTTTAATGAAGGAGAAGGCTGACATACTTTCCTGATAATGACAACACAGACATTGTAAAATTTCTTTGCGAGGACAATGAGAAAAAAGATAGGAGGGTGCTTTTATAAAGTCATTGTTATTATTACTCAAGTCAATGAGCTGTTAAGTACAAGCTTAATTATGACCTATGTTCGTCATCTTGATACTTAATGCACCAGATGCACTTTTCCTGCTTTGTCAATTGCCTGATCTGTCAGTCGACTGAGCGTTCCCTGCCAAATGTGACTGTCTTCCATCTCCAGAGGAGATAGTTGGTTTACCCACATCTAGACTTCATCGTTTTCTTCCCAAAATATTTTGTTCCCGGACACAGGTTCCATCAGAAATTTCCATCAGGTTGGAAATTTGTTGTTTACTCACCACATCCTAGGTCAGAAGAAACAAAGGAAACAATATCTCATCTTGATAAATGATTGAGATATGTCAGATGACATACTAATTTTAAAAGTTGTTAATCCCACTTAAACATAGATGACGAATTAATTGAAACGTGGGCTAGCCGGCCTGCTCTGCACTGCATCCGGGTAGTGCCTTTGCTCTCAAGTTAACCTGATTGCGCAGAGGTGCCCTCGTTTCCTGACTTCATCCCCAAACCATCACGATTATTTCAGTTTACCTTCTCCTTTTCCCAGAACATCTTGTTTGCAGTCCTGCAAAGGGAGTGTTCGGTGCAAAGACAATTAGGCATTGTTATCATTGACATACTAGTAGGGGAATGCCTCTGCTGGAGGTCACCCACCAGGACGCACAAATCCGTGGCCCACACCCGGGCAGGCTGGGCTCGGAGGCAGGTGGGTCGCCGCTCCTTCCAGACCCAAGCCCAGGGCGCTGGACGGTCGTGGTTCACCCAGGGTGGGGGCAAAGTGCCCGGGGTAGCAGCACTTCTTATTTTTGGTGGAAACTGCCCCTCGCTCCGGCTTTCGGGACCTGGGGGTGGGCGCACGCATCGCGACTGTCCCTCTCTTAAGTGGGGCACTCCGCGAGCCCCACCCCCGCCCCCGGTCACCTCTGCGCGCCCCCCTGCAGCCCGCGCAGCGCCCCCCAGCGGCGGCGTGGCCTCCGGCCGCGGTGGCCACGGAGCTTCCGGCGAGCTCGCCAGTTGTCTCCGTCGCCGCCTGGGAATCTGGGGCCCCGAGCGACTGCGAGCCCCGGTCTCCGTGGGACCCGGGGAGGACGCGCGGCCGCTGCGCCTGCCCCACCCGCCACACCTGGGAGCGGGGAGGCCCGGGAGAGGCGGGGCGCGGCCAGCGGCTGGCTCGGGGCGGAGCAGCGCCGCCGACCGCCCGGGGCCTGGAGCGCCGCGGAGGGGGAGGGTCTCGGGGCAGAGCTCTCCTCCTCGGGGGAGGGACCCCAGCCGGGGTGCACAGCCGCGGGAGCCAGCTGCCGAGTCGCCGCCCGTGGGTCATGGAGCGGGCCAGCCCCGGCGCCGGGGGGGCGCAGCTGCAGCGGGATCAGGACTCCGTGGAAGCGTGGCTGGATGATCACCGGGACTTCACCTTCTCTTACTTTGTCAGGAAAGCCACCAGGTAAGGAGGGGACCCCCGGAGGACGCGCCCGGGCGCTGAGTGACCTGGGGGCTCAGCCCGCCCCCTTCCTGGACCTCCCCCCTTCCTTCACCCTTGAACGCGCTGTGTTCCCAGGCCCTTTGCCTTCGGAGAGGGCTTTGGTCCCGCTGGGGCGTAGAGACCTCGACTCCGTGGCCGGTACAGTCGAGACGCCCGAGCGTGGGGTTCGATCCGACGGTGTTGGAGCCCCTTCCCTGCAGCCCCTCCGGGAGCTCCATTTCCAGCCTGGTCGCAGCGGCTCCGCTCCGCCCCCGGCCCCCGTGCCCGGCCCTCGGCGGGGCGGGGAAGCGGGGGGTGGGTGGGGTGAGAGCGCGAGGAGCCCCGAGGCAGCACCGTGCCGGAGTCGTCCCGGAGTGAGTGCGGTCGCCTCTCGCCCCCTCGCAGTCCCTCCCGGGCTCGCGCGCTTCCTTCCACTCTCTCCGGCTGCGCCCAGGGCTCCGCGGCGCGCACGGAGGCGCTGGGGAGGGCGGCGGCGGCGGCGGCGGGCGGAGGCGGGGCGGCGGCGTCCCCGCAGCCCGAGGAGCAGCCGGGCGGGCTCCGGGGCGCACCGGCTGCAGGCGGCGGCCGTCGGGGGCGCCGCGCGCCTGGCGGGGCTGGTGGGGCGGCCCCGGGATCCCCCCGCCGCCGCGCGGGCTCGGCTGTGCCGGGCGCTCCCCGCCAGGGGGCGGCGCAGGGCGGGGCGGCGGCGGGCAGCGGGCAGCGGGGTCGGCGAGCAGCGAGCAGGCTTGAGGGGCCGCCTCACCTGGGCTCGTCGTCGCCCGGGCGCCCCCGGAGCCCAGGGCCTGCGGAGGCCGCGGGGGCTGCGCCTCCAAAGTCCTGTGTTCGCTATGTTGCCCTTTGGAGACCAAACAAGGTAGTTGGCTGAGCATCCCCCCTTGCCACTTCCCTTGGGGGCGCGGCTGGGTGCGGGGTGGGGGCGGCGGGTCCCGGCGGGGGTGGGGGCGCTTCCCTGGAAACGGACTGTCTGATGGGCTTCTCCGCCTTTGTTGTCTTCCGGTGTAGTAGTACTTGGGGATCTTAGACGCGGCTCTGGTTTGTTTTTTCACAAAAGGCTGTTTCTCCTAAAGAGTTGATGTGGATGTCCTCACTGTCGGGCTTTGGGGACGGAGCCTTGACTTCGGGCAAATCTGCTCTCCAGGGCTTCGTTGCCCCGCCCTCCCCGTAAAGTCTCCTTGCCCGCCTTGGCCGTCTTCCTTCGAAAGTCCTGAACCTGGAGCCAGCAGAGGATAAAGCCCCGAGAGAGAGTGACGTGTGCTCGAAGGACGCTGTTCTGCGGTCGGGCCGGGCACTCGGGCACCGGGCTCCGGAATTCTTGCCTGCTGCGGGCCGCGGGTCCCAGGGCTCCCCTGCCACTCCGAGGCCCTCTGTCCCCAGTTCCCTTCCCCCTGGCCCACTTCCCCCTCTCTGCCTCATTGAATGGGGAGTGGGCAGGAGACCTGGGCTGATCTTTTTTTTTTTTTCAGTGTGTCAGGGTGTTCTTTGGAGGTGTTCTGTAGGCAGGTTATTAATAGTTGAAAGGAAAACCTGACGGGTCTTACATAAATCAGCATAAATGTCCTCTCCCCCCCCCCCTTAAGATAGGCACTTAGGATAGCTTGGTGGTCGGTGTTAAATAGTCGTACGTAAGAATGCTTCTCTCAGAGCCTGCCAGAGCTTTGCTAGTAACTTTTCATCGGCAAACAAATGGAAAGAGTTAAATTTACTTTGTTTTCCGCATTACTTTTTCTCCCAAGTAGCATAGACTTAAAATCCTAATTTCTCAGAGTTGCTGCTCAGTGTAAAATTTAGGTCATCTGAAACTCTATATAAAGGCTTTTTTTTAAGCGATGGTTATTATATTATACTTGTTGACAATAGACTGACCACCTTTTTTGAAACGTATGTGTGTATTATATATTCTTGTATATCTAACTGTAAAGGTTCATGTTGAGTAAAAGTCAGAAAATGAAAGTGTAAAATATTTAAAGAGTAGTACAGGCCATTAATTTTAAGAGTTATAAAGCGCTGAAAGCTGTCAGTTTAAAGAATATAATCTAAGCTGTGTGTAGTCAGGGGTTCTGGTTTGGGCTTATATTTGGTGGCATTAACTGGAGATTTAAGAGAGATTAGACAGTAGTTGATTCTAAAAATTCCAAATTTCTAAACCAAGTGTGATTCATATGGTTGTGGTAAAAACTTATTGCAGACATTTTGACTTTAGAGCTAGGATTTTTTTTTTTTTTTTTTTTTAACTAGAGGCTCACATTACTTTGCTTTTTTCCCTTCTGTTCCACGCTGTAAGTGTTAAATGAGTCTGTGATTCAGGACCCCATGAAACAGATTGTTCTGTAGAAACATTTAACATGTTTTAAAATTTAAAATATTTCACTCAGCATCATACCCTCCAGTTCCATCCACGTCGAAGCAAATGGTGGGTATTTGTAATATTCCATTGTATACATAACCACATCTTCTTTATCCATTCATCTTTCGATGGACACTGAGGCTCCTTCCACAGTTTGGCTATTGTGGACATGGCTGCTAGAAACATCGGGGTGCAGGTGTCCCGACGTTTCATTGCATGTGTATCTTTGGGGTAAATCGCCAGCAGTGCAATTGCTGGGTCGTAGGGCAGGTCTATTTTTAACTCTTTGAGGAACCTCCACACAGTTTTCCAGAGTGGCTGCACCAGTTCACATTCCCACCAACAGTGTAAGAGGGTTCCCTTTTCTCCGCATCCTCTCCTAACATTTGTGGTTTCCTGCCTTGTTAATTATTCCCCATTCTCACTGGTGTGAGGTGGTATCTCATTGTGGTTTTGATTTGTATTTCCCTGATGGCAAGTGATGCAGAGCATTTTCTCATGTGCTTGTTGGCCATGTCTATGTCTTCCTCTGTGAGATTTCTCTTCATGTCTTTTGCCCATTTCATGATTGGATTGTTTGTTTCTTTGCTGTTGAGTTTAATAAGTTCTTTATAGATCTTGGAAACTAGCCCTTTATCTGATACGTCATTTGCAAATATCTTCTCCCATTCTGTAGGTTGTCTTTTAGTTTTGTTGACTGTATCCTTTGCTGTGCAAAAGCTTCTTATCTTGATGAAGTCCCAATAGTTCATTTTTGCTTTTGTTTCTTTTGCCTTTCGTGGATGTATCTTGCAAGAAAGTTACTGTGGCCAAGTTCAAAAAGGGTGTTGCCTGTGTTCTCCTCTAGGATTTTGATGGAATCTTGTCTCACATTTAGATCTTTCATCCATTTTGAGTTTATCTTTGTGTATGGTGCAAGAGAGTGGTCTAGTTTCATTCTTCTGCATGTGGATGTCCAATTTTCCCAGCACCATTTATTGAAGAGACTGTCTTTCTTCCAGTGGATAGTCTTTCCTCCTTTATCGAATATTAGTTGACCATAAAGTTCAGGGTCCACTTCTGGGTTCTCTATTCTGTTCCATTGATCTATGTGTCTGTTTTTGTGCCAGTACCACACTGTCTTGATGACCACAGCTTTGTAGTACAACCTGAAATCTGGCATTGTGATGCCCCCAGCTATGGTTTTCTTTTTAAAATTCCCTGGCTATTCGGGGTCTTTTCTGATTCCACACAAAATCTTAAAATAATTTGTTCTAACTCTCTCTGAAGAAAGTCCATGGTATTTTGATAGGGATTGCATTAAACGTGTAAATTGCCCTGGGTAACATTGACATTTTCACAATATTAATTCTGCCAATCCATGAGCATGGAATATTTTTCCATCTCTTTGTCTTCTTCCTCAATTTCTTTCAGAAGTGTTCTGTAGTTTTTAGGGTATAGATCCTTTACCTCTTTGGTTAGGTTTATTCCTAGGTATCTTATGCTTTTGGGTGCAATTGTAAATGGGATTGACTCCTTAATTTCTCTTTCTTCAGTCTCATTGTTAGTGTATAGAAATGCCACTGATTTCTGGGCATTGATTTTGTATCCTGCCACGCTGCCAAATTGCTGTATGAGTTCTAGCAATCTTGGGGTGGAGGCTTTTGGGTTTTCTATGTAGAGTATCATGTCATCGGCAAAGAGGAGAGTTTGACTTCTTCTTTGCCAATTTGAATGCTGCCTTTAATGTCTTTTTGTTGTCTGATTGCTGAGGCTAGGACTTCCAGTACTATGTTGAATAGCAGTGGTGAGAGTGGACATCCCTGTCTTGTTCCTGATCTTAGGGGAAAGGCTCCCAGTGTTTCCCCATTGAGAATGATATTTGCTGTGGGCTTTTCGTAGATGGCTTTTAAGATATTGAGGAATGTTCCCTCTATCCCTACACTCTGAAGAGTTTTGATCAGGAATGGATGCTGTATTTTGTCAAATGCTTTCTCTGCATCTAATGAGAGGATCATATGGTTCTTGGTTTTTCTCTTGCTGATATGATGAATCCATTGATTGTTTTATGAGTGTTGAACCAGCCTTGTGTCCAGGAATAAATCCTACTTGGTCATGGTGAATAATCTTCTTAATGTACTGTTGGATCCTATTGGCTAGTATCTTGTTGAGAATTTTTGCATCCATGTTCATCAGGGATATTGGTCTATAATTCTCCTTTTTGGTGGGGTCATTGTCTGGTTTTGGAATGAAGGTGATGCTGGCCTCAAAGAACGAGTTTGGAAGTACTCCATCTCTTTCTATCTTTCCAAACAGCTTTAGTAGAATAGGTATGGTTTCTTCTTTAAACGTTTGATAGAATTCCCCTGGGAAGCCAACTGGCCCTGGACTTTTGTGTCTTGGGAGGTTTTTGATGACTGCTTCAATTTCGTCCCTGGTTATTGGCCTGTGCAGGCTTATTTCTTCCAGTTCCAGTTTTGGTAGTTTGTGACTTTCTAGAAATGTGTCCATTCCTTCTAGATTGCCTAATTTATTGGCGTATAGCTGTTCATAATATGTTTTTAAAATCGTTTGTATTTCCTTGGTGTTGGTAGTGATCTCCTTTCTCATTCATGATTTTATTAATTTGAGTCTTCTCTCTCTTCCTTTTAATACGGCTAGCTAATGGTTTATCTATCTTATTAATTCTTGCAAAGAACCAAGTCCTGGTTTTGTTGATCTGTTCCACAGTTCTTCTGGTCTCGATTTCTTTGAGTTCTGCTCGAATCTTAATTAACTCTCTTCTTCTGCTGGGTGTAGGATCTATTTGCTGTTTTTTTCTCTAGCTGCTTTAGGCATGAGGTTAGCTTTTGTATTTGAATTCTTACCAGTTTTTGGAGGGATGCTTGTATTGCGATGTATTTCCCCCTCCGGACTGCTTTTGCTGTATCCCAAGGATTCTGAATGGTTGTATCTTCATTCTCATTAGTTTCCATGAATGTTTTTAATTCTTCCTTAATTTCCTGGTTGGCCTTTTCCTCTTTTATCAGGATGGTCCTTAACCTCCACGTGTTTAAAATCCTTCCAAACTTCTTCTTGAGATTTAGTTCTAATTTTCAAGGCATTATGGTGTGAGAATTCGCAGGGTCGATCCCAATCTTTTGTTATCAGTTCAGACCTGATTTGTGACCTAGTATGTGGTCTATTCTGCAGAAAGTTCCATGTGCACTTGAGAAGAATGTGTATTCAGGTGAGTTTGGGTGTAAAGTTCTGTAGATATCTGTGAAATCCATCTGGTCCAGTGTATCATTTAAAGCTCTCGTTTCTTTGGAGATGTTGTGCTTAGAAGACCTATCGAGTGTAGAAAGTGCTAGATTGAAGTCACCAAGTATAAGTGTATTATTATCTAAGTATGTCTTAACTTTGGTTATTAATTGATATATTTGGCAGCTCCCACATTTGGGGCATATATATTGAGGATTGTTAAGTCCTCTTGTTGGATAGATCCTTTAAGTATGATATAGTGTCCCTCTTCGTCTCTCACTACAGTCTTTGGGGTAAATTTTAGTTTATCTGATATAAGGATGGCCACCCCTGCTTTCTTTTGAGAACCATTTGAATGGTAAATGGTTCTCCAACCTTTTATTTTCAGGTTGTAGGTGTCCTTCTGTCTAAAGTGAGTCTCTTGTAGACAGCAAATAGATGGGTCCTGCTTTTTTATCCAGTCTGAAACCCTGCGCCTTTTCTTGGGGTCATCGAGCCCGTTTACGTTCAGAGTTACTATTGACAGATATGAGTCTAGTGTCATCATATTATCTATTCAGTCCATTTTTTTGTGGATTGTTCCACTGAACTTCTTCTTAAAGGGGAATTTTAAGAGTCCCCCTTAAAATTTCTTGCAGAGCTGGTTTGGAGGTCACATATTCTTTCAGTTCCTGCCTGTCTTGGAAGCTCTTTAACTCTCCTTCTATTATGAATGAGAGCCTTGCTGGATAAAGTATTCTTGGTTGCATGTTCTTCTCATTTAGGACCCTGAATATATCCTGCCAGCTCTTTCTCGCCTGCCAGGTCTCTGTGGAGAGGTCTGCTGTTAATGTAACATTTCTCCCCATAAAAGTTAGAGATTTCTTGTGTCTTGCTGCTTTAAGGATCTTTGCTTTATCTTTGGAATTTGCAAGCTTCACTATTAAATGTCAAGGTGTAGAGAGGTTTTTATTGATTTTAGTGGGGGATCTCTCTATGCCCTGGATCTGAATGCCTGTTTCCCTTCCCAGATTAGGAAAGTTTTCAATTTTAAATACATGTTTAAATACATGTTTTGTCCCTCTGTCCCTTTCAGCGCCCTAGGGAACCCCAAGTAAATGTAGATTTTTCTTCCTCAGGCTGTCATTTATTTCCCTTAATCTATCCTCATGATGTTTTAATTGTTTGACTCTTTTTTCCTCTTTGCCATCAACTTGCCTTCTACATCACTCACTCATTCTTCCACCTGGTTAACCGTTGGCATTAGGACCTCTAGTTTGGA